GTCTCTGTTTCTACAGTCGTGCTCTTGCCACCATCTTTGTTTTCTGTCTCCGTCGTCGAATCCACTTCGATTACAGTACCGAGCTCAGCTGAACGAGATGTCTCTTTGATCGTACTCGTGCGTACTGTCTTGGTTACGATGCTATCTTTGTCATTTGGTGTGTGGAAAACCTTCCTGTTTGTTTCATTTTTTACCGCCGATGGACCCATGTGTACGGCTGCCCAGGTGGCAATGAGTTTTCGAGCTGCTGCTTTTGTTGTGAGCGGTGTACTGTCAATTTGATGCTCGAACCATGACATGAGCCAGTTTCCAGCATCAAAATCTTCTTCATCATCTCTTTTATATTCCCTTTTCGCGGACAAGTCAACCGCGTACATGAAAGCACCCTTTTTTACTGCCGTTTTATCTTCCGATGACATCGGTCTAGATTGTGTGGAACAAAATTTGTTAACATTGATAAAATGGTCCTCGTCTCCCGCTTGGGTTTCGACAATTGGTGATTTAGCGGACAAGACTAGCTCATCGGCTAGTTTTAGAATTGACACTGACTTCGTTGTGCCATTTTCTAGATCAACTAGGGCTGCATTTGTTTTCTTGTCACTTAAACACATAAACACGTCCTTTTGGGACGAGCATTGTACACCTCGGTCTTGCAAGTGCTTGAAAACTTCTTCCCAAGACCCACAATGCACAACTTCTCCATTTACAAGCACAATATTACTGCTTGCACGAGTGCAGTCCTCAGATGAGTCACGCAGAAGTGAGATGACAATAATTTTTTTAAGCCATTTTGACAAGCAGCGATTGATCGAGATGAATTCAAACGCGGCTTCATGTTCAATGTGAGCCTTGTCCATCAGTACCGCATTTGTCGTACGAAAGCGTAGCCCGCAGCTTCGAATCGGGTACTGGGGATAAAAGAGCGTAAAGGCGCGGGTGAGCTCCCACGCCACTTTGCGCTCCTTTGAGCGACGAGTTTCAATGGCCAATACACGCTCTGCCAAACTTTTCTCGTTTTCTTCTACTTCGTATTTTATTACTCGGAAGCGACAAAATGCACGGGCGAGTATGAACAGTTCTACCGCACTCAGCGATTCAATACGGCGGCCATGGTTTGTCACGTACTTTAGAAAAGCAGGCATTAGCTTTATGTAGTCTTCTTTTTTCCACTCCTTCACAATGTCTGGACTCGCCATCATCGCGCCAGCTGGAGGCGTTACAACGGTACTCGTAAAGAGCACGCCAGTGCTGTCACTCAGAGCGCAGAGCATTTCTTCAGCCGCTTCTTTGGATCCCATGGCAGCCATCGTGGCGCAGGCACTCCAGGCGTGCCACGCAAGCTCTGCAAAACTCGGTGTAGCCTTCTCCTCGCTAACGCTTTCAAAGTCGGTCACGGCATGGGCCGCTGCCACTGCCGTGGGGCTCATTCTCTGCTGTTTTACGTCAACCCCCTTATCCTTAGTGGCAATGATCTCGGGGATCATTATTTTTGAGCCATTGGGACGGGTTACGACGGTCGTAGCGGTGCAGTCGTCGGGGCCGGTTGTTATTGCAGCTGTCATGCGGTTTGTCGCGACTGAGGCCATGAACGTCGATCCCTCCTTGTTTTTTTTCACGGGCTGTCCAGTATTACGTGCTGGCTGCTTCGTCTTAGACGTTGACTGCTTGGTATCAAGCGTCTGGTCGTTTTTTTCAGCAGCCCGCTTGCCCCTCTGACGCGATGCATCTTTGGCAGCTTCGCTCGATTCGGTGCTGCCCATTTTCACGATATATATGTATTTCTTTGCTATGTGTAGTTTTAATCTCTGCTTTTACACTACGTCGTAATGTTTCGGTAAGAATCTGCCGATCCACTTGATGTCTGAGGCAAAAGCAAGTATGATCCGGTGAAGACTGACTAAGATACGAGCGAAGCCAGCTGCTGTAGCTATACGTACAGTAGTAGACTTGATTTGAGTAAGGATTTAATTCGCACTTAACGCCGTAGCCAAGCCCAGGATTTAGCAAACCCCAATCCACGAATGGGTGGTCATCGTAATAAGGCCGGAACTGTGTCAAGTTATCAGAGTTCAAATTCGATTAGGAAATTTGGTCAGACAGAGCGATCATCTGAATTAGAGATCCTTTTCACACCCATCGCATGGTGTTCCTCCAACAACGTGAATTAGCACTATGTCGTCGTTCGGATCTATCCGAGCAACTATTCTTGGACTGACAGCAGAACGCTGTGGTGCAAGCTGCGAAAAATGGAAATTTGATACGGTTCTATGTACCAATCATTTACAGCTGTATCTACAAACAAACAAGTGGGTTTTTTATGTTCTATGAAAAAGATTGGATCGAACATTTAAAGAGGCAGTCAGTCGAGCGTCTGCAAGCATCAAACATTACTATCGAGTTATATCGAAACAGTATTATCGGTTTGGTGTTGTGCTTTAAGGGCTAACAGTCCGTTGGGTTTTTGGATGGATGTGAAGCTTCTCAAGCAGAAATATTTTAACTTGATGGTATAGTGTAAGCTACTAAATGTAATCTAGTTCTTCTAGTTGATTTGTACATTCAAAGTATCGATAGCCAGGGGGCCACGCCAGAAGCAGGATAAAATTGGAGGCAACCACGAGAGAAATTATCGCCCATTGCCATGATCAAAATTTACCGCGGGCAGTATAAACGACTAGCACCACTGCGCTGGTATTATCGCGCCTGTTCAATTAAATAATTTTAGGTTCTATGGTGTCTGGCATGGTTTTTCGATGACATCAAATTAGTAAGCTGACCAGTCCCGAATCTGTACAACCTGAACGCGTCCAACGTAATGGTTCGTTTTGTCTATTGTAGTGGAGGAGCGTCGTTGAGTAGTAAGTCTGCTTTTGCTCGGCTGAGAGACGGTCTCGATGGACTTTCGAGGCTATCCACTTGAGTATTCTGATTTTTAATACTTATTCCTATTTCGAGCGAGGGTCAAAAGTACTGAATTAAGATTGAGTATTGCATTGAAATACAGTGACAGTCAGATTTCGCATTATATTAAATCAATCAACTCATATTGCACTTTTGTTTATATTCTTTCATAATAAAGCCATTATCATTATGAAAGATGGCAAGACATATATACTTTGTATGAGTTTTAGAGCATTGATCCTAATTATATGTACTATCGAAAAAAGCAGTGCTAACTAGACAACTAGTTGCGGTAGAGGTTCTTGGCAGCGCTCCTGGTAGAAGCGCACGAGGGTGAGAATTATGTTAGCGCAGACTCATCTGTCCAGAGATTTTTCTGTGTACAGTGCTCAGCAGCCCCGTTGCGCTTGGAAGCAGTGATATTCAGCTCCACGACCGAGTGGTGAAAAGACTGTATCTGTAGCGGGGCTGCCGTAGCTCTTTGCTTAGAAAAAAGCTAAGGTCACCGACCTTACGTTCTATACTATAACCAGTATGAGTGTAGCGGACCGCAATCCGTTACCTCCAAGAGTACTTAAAACTTAAACCAAGGCATATATATCTTATGTATTATTCGTGGCAGAGCCGCCTATACCAGAATCTAATCTATAGGTTTTCCTAACTAAATAGTAAAACCTTAATAAAAAGCATAACTACTGATACTCCCGCCACGTGGTAACTTCTTGTTAAGGTGTAGCCATGTTACTGTGTGGTCACACCATTTAGTGTGACCCACCCCTTCATACCAGGGTAAATGTAACCCCGTTACACTATCCCCCATTAAAGTTGTACAATTCACATTTAACTGTCGCCTCGTACGAGGCTCGCGTGTCTAAGACACCTTTACGCCCCCAGGACCTTCTTCACGCTTTTTCTGCTCAATGAGCCCTGTGTCTATGACACAAAAAAACACCCAGCCTCGCTGGTTCCGAGAGCGCCCGCAGGTAGAGCCCTTCTTCGTATCCTGCACGCGGTGCAACTCCGGACAGTTGGTCCGCGGCCTCAAGGGAAGCGCATCAGCAACCGGGCGCCGCACACCGCACCCGCCGGGCAACGGATTTCCTCGTCGAGGATTCGGAGAAAGTCAACTACGAGTCGAATACTCCTTGACGAGGAAGGGAAGAAGAGGAGGGCGAGGTGCGCCAGCGGCGCGACGTGAGCCCTGCTCGAACCTTGCCGACACCGTGTCTGTTTCCCGAACTTACGACTTCTGGGGGGAGTAGTATCAATGCCAATCGCCTCGGCGAGGCACAAAAGCAGCATTTGAGGGCTGCTCACAGGGCGACTCTCACGCACTCGCATCCAAGGTCGGTCCTAGACCCTCGAGTAGAACACTGCTTCCGCTCGGTGGATCCCGCTACTGAAGCGAAGGACGCGATCACACGATCGTTGCGCGTCTACATAGTCGGGCCTCCGGCCACAGTACAAGCCGAGCTTGGCCAACGAAAAGATGTTCGAGCCGCTTCGTGGAACCTCAAGAAATTCCAATAAATAGGTACCGCGCTCGACTTCGCGCTCAAAGAGGAGGCGCTTCTGAACCCACAATGCGGACGATTCCTTTGGTGCTCGCCCCTGGCGAATCCGCTACAGATGATGAAGAGCTTTTTGAGCGATGGGTGTAGCAGCACCGGAAACTTTCCTCGTTGTCTAACTTACAGCGGAGCCACAAGGAGGTGGGCGAGCGTGTTGAACGCCATCTTCGATTTGAGTTTGCTAAACTCAAGGCGCAACGCCGATTTTCTTCGGATTGTCACCCTGCGACGTATGGATTAATCCATCACGCTCCCGCGAGCTCTGTGGTCTCTCACTCGGGTGATTTTACGACCACAGCAGCTCAGGGCTATAGCTTGAGCTCAGCTCATGGTCCTTTGTCTTCCTCAGCTATTGCCGAGAAGCGCGGGGCATACGACGACGTAGAGCGTCATGATCCCTCTGATAATAAGCGTCCACGACGTCTGGGCAGTCTTGCCGATGT